AGCGCCACTTCTGGCTTTTTTCTTTTTGCTTATGTGGTGCTGAGGAATCGAACCCAGGGCCTCAGGTATGCAAGGCACGCGCTCTACCACTCAGCCACCTTCCCAGCCCCGAGTTCTTTTTTTTTTTGTTGTTGGTCGTGAGGCCTGAACTCTGGGCCTGGGCACTGTCCCTCAGCTCTTCAGCTCAAGGCTAGCACTCTACCACTTGAGTCACTGCTCCACTTCCGGCTTTTTCTGCTTATGTGGTGCTGAAGAATCGAACCCAGCACCTCATGCATGCAAGGCAAGCACTCTACCACTGAGCCACCTTCCCAGCCCAGTTCTTTTACTTTTAAAGCTAGGTTTGAGCCCAACACTAGCGGTTATTATTACGCCTAACTACTCAGAAGGCCGAGATCTGAAGATCATGGTTCAAAGCCAGACAGGGCAAGAAAGTTTGTGAGACGCTTATCTTCAATTAAGCACCAAACACTAAAAGTGGAGTTGTGGCTCAAGTTATACAGTACTAACCTGGAGCAAAAAAAACAGGCAAGCACCAAGTCAAGCCCCAGAACACACACATACAAAATAAGTTTGGCATTAAACTATATAACATTACAAAAAAAAAAGCTACTACTCCAATCTAGAACTTCTCCTTTTTATGTCCTTCAGAGAATTGACTTGAATTAATTTACTTACACCAATTAATATTCAGTTGAAGCTTTCAAGGCTCTTTCTATCGTAAAGCATCCTTTCTAACCAGTGTGCTGAGAGTCCATTGTTGACAGAACAACTGTTAATTCTCTCAGGTTTCAGAAAAGCTAAGTGGTAATCTGGAATTCAAAAACAACTGGCAAGGACTATCCCTGGACAAGTAACCCCAGGATCAAGTGTCCTTTCTCATTGATCATAAGGTGCTATGGAAATTCTCATTCTCTTATGTATACTACAATGTGCAAGCAATTGGCACCAGTGGCTCACACACATAAATCCTAGCTATTTAGGAGGCTGTACTTGGGAGGATGGCAGTTTCAGACTAGCCAGGGCAGAAAAATCTAGGAGACACTATCTTCACAGAGGGAAACCAGGTGAGGTTGGTGGTAAGTGCCTGTCCAGCTACCTGGATATCCGAGATAGGAAGGTTACGGTTCCAGGCCAGCCCAGAAGAAAAGGTCACAAGACTATCTCAAAAGAAGCTGGGATGGTGGTATGCCTGTCATCTTAGCTACTAATGGAAGAATAAAATAAGCAGTGGTCTAGGAGAAGGAATGGGGTAAAACATAACTGTCTCAATTATTGCTGGAGGCATAATACAGCAGTGGAATACTTGTCTTACAAGTTTGAAGCCATGAGTTCAACTCTACTATCGTAAAACAAAAAAACAAAACCCACCTTTAAATCTGTATGTATCCTTTTTTTTTTTTTTTTTCTCTGACCTCTACCAGAGTTTAACTCAGGGCCTGAGATTTGCTCAATGTATCTGCTAGGTTGGTACTCTACCATATGAGCCACACATTCAACTTTGGGTTTTTTTTTCTGGTTATTTTGGAGATGAAATATAATGAACTTTTCTGCCTGGGCTGAATTTGTAGCTCAAATCTTAGTCCTTTAGTTCCTAGTAAGGCCAATATCCAGAATTATAGGCATAAGCTACCAGTGTTGGGTACTTGTGCTTTGTGCTTCCAACCTATTATCAAAAACAAGATCCTAGGAATTTACTTCATTAACAGAATACAATTATTTTCAATTAGTATAACAACCATTCTAAATAAACTACAGCTTGAAAAATCTTTAGCCCTTTAAAAATTTATCTTTTTTTAATTTTTAAATTTTTGTCAGTCATGGGGCTTGAACTCTGGGCCTGGGAGTTCTACCTCAGCTCTTCAGGTCAAGGCTAGTACTCTTCCCCTTGAGCCACAGCATTATTTCCAGTTTTCTGGTGGTTTATTAGAGATAAGAGTCTCACAGACTTTCCTGCCCAGGCTGGCTTTGAACTGTGGTCCTCAGATCTCAGCCTTCTGAGTAGCTAGGATTATAGGCATGAGCCACTGATGCCTAGCTAAACTGTTTTTTAGATAAACTATATATCTACCTAAACTTCCACATTATTTGGTAAGTGTAACTTTTCATCACATATAATTTAATGTATAGGTCAGATGTACCTCTCCTTTTTTTTTTTTTTTTGGTCAGTCATGGGGCTTAAACTCGGGCCTGTGCACTGTCTCTGAGCTCTTCAGCTCAAGGCTAGCACTCTACCACTTGAGCCATAGCACTACTTCTGGTTTTCTGGTAGTTTACTGGAGATAAGAGTCTCACAGACTTTCATGCCTGGGCTGACTCTGAACCATGATCCTCAGATCTCAGCTTCCTGAGTAGCGAGATTTACAGGTGTAAGCCACTGGCACCCAGCAGATGTACCTATTCTTATATATCATTTTTTGGGGGGGGGTCCGGTCGTGGGGCTTGAACTCTGGGCCTGGGCGCTGTCCTTCAGCTCTTCAGCTCAAGGCGAGCCTTACATATCATTTTTAAAGCTCAAGTTACTGATGTTTCACTTTTTTTGTGTGTTCGGTGGGGGCGGGGGAAGGAGGGGGTCAGGGGGCTTGAACTCTGGGCCTGGGCACTGTCCCTCAGCTCTTCAGCTCAAGGAGAACGCTCTACCACATGAGCCACAAGCCACTACTTCTGGTTTCCTGGTGGTTACCTGGAGATGAGAGTCTCACAGACTTTCCTGCCTGGGCTGGCTTTGAACAATCCTCAGATCTCAGCCTCCTGAGAAGCTAGGATTACAGGCATGAGCCACCAGCACCCAGATGATATTTTGCTTTATAATCCCCCCTTAAGGAAGACATAACTTTTGGGCTACTTCTTCCTACTTTTCTGGATATATTTACTCTCTCATTGATTCACAAGTTAAAAATGCAGCCAGATGCCAGTAGGTCATGTCTTTAATATTAGCTGCTCAGGAAGCTTAGACCAGATAAATCTAAGGTTCAGCTTGTTTAGACAGAATAGTTTTCAAGACTCCATCTCCAATTAAAAAACAAAATGTTAGACTGGAGGTATGGCTTAAGTGGTAGAAAGCCTTGAGCAAAAAGAAGTCAAGTGAGATCTGAAGCCCTGAGTTCAACCTCCAGTACCATCACACACACACACACACAATTTCCAGTACCATCACACACACACACATAGCTATTTGTTAGAAAACAAACAAACAAAAAAACCAAGCTGGCACTCACTGGTGGCTCACACCTGTAATCCCAGCTACTTAGGAGGTCCAGATCTGAGGAACATAGTTCCAAGCCAGCCTGGACAGGAAAGTTCTTGAGACTCTTATTGCCTATTAACCATCTAAAAACCAGCAGGGGAGCTATGGCTCAAAATGTTAGTGTTAGCCTTGAGCAAAAAAGCTCAGGGACAGTACCTGGGACCTGAGTTCAATCCCCACAACCAGCCAACAAAAGAAAGAACAAGGGAAGGGGTGACATTGTCCAAAAAGAAATGTTCTCCTTATCTAACTTATGTAACTGTAACCCCTCTGTACATCACCTTTATTTTTATTTTTTTATTTTTTGGGTCCAGTCGTGGGGCCTGAACTCTGCCTGGGTGCTGTCCCTCAGCTCTTTAGCTCAAGGCTAGCGCTCTACCACTTGAGCCACAGCGCCACTTCTGGCTTTTTTCTTTTTGCTTATGTGGTGCTGAGGAATCAAACCCAGGGCCTCATGCATGCTAGGCAAGTGCTCTACCACTGAGCCACCTTCCTAGCCCCTATCACCTTTATTTTTATTTATTTATTTGTTTAATATTTTGGCTAGTCCTGGGACTTGAACTCAGGGCCTGTGCACTGTCTCCGGGCTTCTTTTGCTCAAGGTTAGCACTCTACCATTTCAGCCACAGTATCAGTTTTCTGATTATGTGATACTGAGGTATCAAACTCATGGCTTCATGCATGTTAGGCAAGCACTCTACCACTAAGCCACATTCCCAGCCCTGTACATCACCTTTATAATAACAATAAAAATTATTTGCAGAAAAAAATAACAAAAAGGCTTTTTTATAGATTAACTGTATTTTTTATTAATAGTAAATGGAAAAATCATACCTTCAGAGACATAAGTGAAAGGTTTATTCCGAATAGAAAGCATGGTGAACAGGTTGAAAGAAAGAGCCACAAAAGTACCAACCAATAATCTTCCCCTAAAAAGAACAATAACATTCATCTTAACTGGTTTTTCTTGGTAATATCAACATATAACTTTCACAAGAGACAGAGATTAAGAAATTGGAAAGGGCTGGGTGCCAGTGGCTCACTCCTGTAATCCTATCTACTCAAGAGTCTAAGATCTGAGGATAGCTGTTTGTGGCTAACTACCAGAAAAAGTCAAAATTATAGCTATGGCTCAAGTGTTAGAATGCTAGCCTTGAGCAAAAATGCTCAGGGACAGCACTCAGGCCCTAAGTTAAAGCCCCAGGACAGGCACAAAAGAAAAAGAAGAGACTGGAAGGGATTAGGATGGTCTGCCTCAAAGGTCTGGGATTTGCAGAGGCAGAAATTATCTCCTTCTCCTGTCCCATGTCCCGTGTCCTGTCAGCTACTGCTCCAGAGTACACAGATCAAAGAAGGGTTTTCACATTTATACAACAATGTGTAATTACTTTCATACAGCTGTACAGACGCTAGTGGTTATTTGGCTTACCACATATACTGGACAAACCAAACTTCTCTGACTTGATCCCAATAGGAAAGACCCTTAAGAGTTGGCAACTATGTGGGTAATAAATACAAGCATCTTCTCTGTAAGTGCTAAAAAGATTTTGGGGTTAATTTTTAATTTTTATTTTTTTGTTGGTCATGGGGCTTGAACTCTGGGCCTGAGTGCTGTCCCTCAGCTCTTCAGCTCAAGGCTAGCCCTCTACCACTTGAGCCACAGCACCACTTCCGGCTTTCTAGTGGTTAATTAGAGATGAGTCTCACAGACTTTCCTGCTGGAATGGCTTTGAACTGTGATCCTCAGATCTCAGCCTCCTGAGTAGCTTGGATAGGCATAAGCCACCGGCGCTGGCAGGGGTTAAATTTATTTATTTTTTTGTGGGGCCTGAACTCTGGGCCTGGGTGCTGTCCCTCAGCTCTTCAGCTCAAGGCTAGCGCTCTACCACTTAAGCCACAGGGCCACTTCCAGCTTTTTCTGCTTATGTGGTGTTAAGGAATTGAACCCTGAGCCTCATGCATACAAGGCAAGCACTCTACCACTGAGCCACCATTTTTAACTACAGAAGATTAGACGGAGTTGGTCTCTAGTGTTAGTGTGTTGACCTGAGTCTGTAAATCATAAAGGGCTTAAAGGTGGAAAGACCTTCCTGTGTATGTGATATCAAGAACTTGAGAACTGTAAAAGTGAAAAGGAATTTTTGGATTTGTAGATTTTTTGTTTTCAAATCCCAGTGAAAATGTATATTACCATATTCAAAACTCTGATATTGAACAAAGTAACTATTACTTAATCATTCAGATTAATCTTTTGGTTTCTTTTCTTTTCTTGAGGATCCAAGTCAGGGCCTTGTATTTACTAAGCAAGTGTTCCTCTGAGCTAAATCTCCTCCTCCAGATCTCAGGAGGCTGAGATCTGAAGATTGCAGTTCAAAGCCAGCCTGGGCAGAAAAGTCCCAGTGAGATTCTTATCTTCAATAAACTACCCAAAAAAGCTGGAAGTGATACTTTAGTTCAAGTAGAGAGCACTAGCCCTGAGCACAAAAAGACTCAGGGACAGCTCCCAGGCCCTGAGTTCAAGGCCCACATCTGACAAAAAAATAATAATAATGATAATAATAATAATATCTAGCTGGCTATAATATCTAGCTGGGTATATACAAGCCTGGTATATATTCAAGCCTGTAATCTTAGCTACTCAGTAAGCTGAGATCTGAGGATAGTGGTTTGAGCCAGCCTAAGACAGGGAAATCCTTGAGACTCTTATCTCCAATTGATTACTCAAAAACCACAGTAGAGGTTTGCTCAAGTGGTAGAGAGCTATCCATAAGCCAAAAGCTCAAGGACCAACACTAAAAACAAAAACAAAAATAACAACAAAAATACAAAAAATAAAGAAGAAGAAGAAAAAAAGAACAAAAATCATCTGCTGGCACTGACTGCTCATGCCTGTAATCCTAGTTTCTCCAGAAACTAAGATCTGATGACTAGGGTTCCAAGCCAGTCTGGGCAAGAAAGTTCAAGAGACTCTGATCTACAATTACCCAGCAAAAAGCTGTAAGTAAAGCTGTGACTCAAGTGGTACAGCCCTAGCCTTGTGTAAAAAAGTTCAAGGACAGCACCCAGGCCCCCAGTATACAGTACACACACACACACACACACACACACACACACACACACACACACACATATCTTATCTTAGGTTAGGCTGGGAGTGTATCTCAGTGGTATAACTCTAGGCTAGCATGCATAACACACACACACATATACATCTTATCTTAGGTTAGGCTGGGAGTGTATCTCAGTGGTATAACTCTAGGCTAGCATGCATAATGCCCTGGGTTTGATCTTCAGCACTGAAAAAAAATTAGTATTAATAAAATAAAGTCTTACGTATGTATCTCAGGCTGCTCCAAAAAGCGTTCTGCACTAAAAGAAAGAAAAATATATTAAATAAATCTTATAAATTATAAAACTTAAAGCTTGTGTTAAATATATTAAGGCATGTCTGACTGACGTTCTTTCATCAGATGTACCTGACTGAATTTAATAACATCAAGAAAGAAACAGAAGAGAAGAAAAAAAGTCTGATACAAGAGGAAACTTCACCATTAAAACTCTAGCAGTTCTCATCTTAATTTGCATAGTCTTCAAACCAGATGTGTCCCCAAAGTATCATTAAGTAAAATTTAAAATAATATATGCAAATATACCTTTCTTTTAATATAAAGAGAGCTCCCAGTTGTGCCAATACAGTGGAAGCAAATACAGCTAGGACTTCTAATCTTTCAAACCTGAAATAAGAAAATTAATTAGATCACCAAAACTGTCAACCCACAAACCAGTCTCCCTACAATAGGTATGCTTTATTTATTCACTTATTTAATATATGAACCTGCAGTCCACTATAAGCCAAATACTACTGAGATAAACTACAGAGTTGTTAAAAGAACAATGAATATAGAAAATTTGATCCAGGCACAGATGACTCACACCTATAATCCTAGCTATGAGGTTAAGCTATGAGAATCACAGTTTTAAGCCAGCCAAAAAAGTCCATGAGACTCTTAGCTCCAATTAACCAGCAAAAAGCCAGAAGTAGAGCTGTAGTTCAACTGGTAGAACACTAGACTTGAACAAAAAAGCTCAGGGACAGGGACCAGGTCCTGAGATCTGACCCCAGCATTAGCACACAAGAAAAGAAAATTTAAAAGAGTATCAGCCAGGTACCTGGTGTAATTATAGGTGTAAATCTATAATTCTTGCTAGTCAGGAGGCTAAGATCTGAGGAGCATGGTACACAGCCTAGGGAGCAAAGTCTCCCAGACTCTTATTTCCAATGAGCTATCAAAAAGCCAGAAGTGGAACCATAGCACAAAGCACCAGCCTTGAGCAAAAAAAAAGCCAAGGGACAGAGCTTAGGCCCTGATTTCAAGCATCAATACTGACCCCCCCCAAAAAAAGGTATCTCTTTATTCAACATAATTTCCCAAGACCTAGTCATGGCCCTAATTAGAAGTCACCACTATCAGAGTAGGCACTAGTTGCTCATGTCTGTAACCCAATTACTTAAGAAACTGAGAACTGGGCTGGGAAGGTGGCTCAGTGGTAGAGCGCTTGCCTTGCATGCCTGAGGCCCTGGGTTCCATTCCTCAGCACCACATAAGCAAAAAGAAAAA